TCCCTGGAAGTGTCCAAGGCCAGGTTGGACAGGGCTTGGGCAACCTGGGCTGGTGGGAGGTGTCCCTGCCCATGTCAGGGAGGTTGGAATGAAATGATCTTTAAGGTCTCTTCCAACCGAAACCATTCTGTGATTCTCTGCTGGTGACCATCATGTGTCCACTGGGATGGAGATGACAGACCTGGGTGCTCAGTGCCCACCCCACAGGACAGCAGCACCCATGCTTGCCCCTCTCCACTTCCACAATGGAGGAAGAGGCAGAGGGGCTGGTGTGGCACATACTCACCTACCCCCTTCACGTAGTCTGTGGCGTGGATGTGCGCTGGGCCCAGCTCCACAAAAGAGTTGAAGACCTTGTACAGCACCTGCAAGCAAGGCAAATCCTTTGAGGAATGCAGGATATCCTGCCTTGAGAAGGGCAGGATGGACCCTGTGGAAGAGGCATCTCCTGCCCCAAACCTGCCAGTTGACACAGCTTATCTCAGCAGGCAAAGTCCCCCAGGGCCAGGAGAGAGGAAAGACCAAGAGAGCATGGCAGGGGTCTGCCCAGAGCTTGGGGATGTCACCTGCACCCTCTGACCTGGGAGAGTCCAGTACCCTGCATGGCACTGGGCTCCACATTGGGGGTCCCCCAAACTGCAACTCACCACGGTGACAGCATCATTCAGGAGAGACTCGCCAAACACGATGATGAAGAGGGTCTCATTCACATGGACCTCTTCAAAGACAGCCAGCACTGCCACAGGGTCCACAGCTGAGATGAGGCTGCCGAAGAGCAGGAAATCCATCAGCCCAGCTTCGACACCCGGATCTGACAGGACAGAAGGACCCAGGTGAGGCAAACCATCTGCCCCTGAGCCCCTCTCACCAGGCCGAAATGAGCCTGTCCCTCAGCTGATCCCAGCTGCAGCATCTCAACTGGGAGTGCAGTGGGATGAACCCAGTGAGAGTATTCCCAGACCTCTGGGGTGCCCCCTGTAAAGTGGGGCTCAGCACATCCTTGCTGCAACAGGAGAGGAGCATGAGGGATGTCCCCCTTGGCACCCAGATGCATCTCTGCCCCTCTGGCAGGTACCACCAGAAGAGGGATCCAGGCATCAAGCAGTTCCTCAGGTCTCAAGAGAGCTCAAAACACAGCCCAGGCCATCCAGGGCCAGCGGCTCCAGCCAAGGACAGGGAGCACGGCGGCGAGCCAGCTACGCCAGCCAAGGTCAGCGACAAAAATAGCAAAGACATGAATCAGCCCAGTGCCAAGCAGGACCCATTTGTCCTGCGAGCTTGACTGTCCTGCCAGAGCACCATTCCCGGGATGCCAGGACCCAGAGCACCACTCCCAGGATGCCAGGGCCCCGTTCGTGGTATGATTCCTAGGAATCCACAGCAGGGACGGGCAGCGGGCTATGAAATCGGGGTGCAATCTATGAAATCGGGGTGCTTTGCACCTCCAACCTGTTTTCTGTGGGTGTGGTCCAAGCTGGGCAGCCCTGCACACCCACCCATGAGCCCGGCCCGGTGCAGCCCCCAGAGCGCTGTGCCGGTGGCAAAGGAGTTCCAGAGCGTGCCCACCACCGCGTAGGTGAGGATGGCACCGATGTTGTCGAAGAACAGCCGGCTGGGCATGAAGTAGCCTGAGTCTAGGACGATGGGGGGCAGAAGGAAGAGGAAGAACATGTTGGGCTCCAGCTGGTACTCGGCTTTCTTCGCCACGGCCAACACGATGCCCCCCAGGACCAGCCCCAGCAGGATGAGGAGGCAGCTCTCCGGGACAACGGATGTCACCTTCCTCGACAGGTGGAAAACTAGAAAGAAAAGAAGAATGAGAGCATCAGCCAAACAGGCACATGGACAGAGCATCCCAAATCCAGAGGCTCCATGGAAGGGTTAGGTGATGCATGATGGATGAGGGAAGGACAAGGGAGCACCTAAGGAAAGGCTGCTTCCTGGCCATGTGTGCACAGAAGATCTTCCAGCTGCCTCCCAGGTCAGGATTGCAGGTCCCTGATGCTTTGGGATCTCCCTCTCCTCCTCAGCCACTGCCTAATAAGCCAAGCAGCCAGGCACTTTGCTTTTCCTGGCCTCTGGTGTCTGCACTTACAGGATTAAAGCAGCCAGTGAGCACGTTCACAGTGTCACGAGCGCTGCTGGCTGCTGCTCGAGTGAAGAAATCCTGGTTCACCGGGACATGTTACCCCACTTGGAGACGAGGATGCTCAGACCTGGTGACGGGGTGACCTTGTTTGCATCCGTCTCAGCAAGCAGCCAGAGCAGCCAGCAAACCACTGCAGCACAAGCCATGCCAGAGCACAACCTCTCTCAGCACCAGCTAACCTACCTGCATGCAAAAGCACAGGCACTCGGGAGCTGCAGCTTTAGAGATGCTTGGAATAATCATTTTATTCCGTGCAGGGTTGGGACCAAATCTTAAGCTACTGTGGAACAGGATGTATCCTGTGAAGCAAGCAGAGGATGCCCTGGTATCCATCCATCAGCAATGTGGCAGTGAGCCTGCAGCTCAGGCGCAAGCCAGCAGGACGCCAGCACAGGGGACTTGCTCCTCCAGGCACCCTTATCCCCAGGGCCAGGGTGTTCTGTGAAATCCTAAATCAGTCCAGCTTCCAGCAGGGCAATCCCCAACCCTCTGGATTTCTCCTCCCTAGCACAGGGTGCTGTGTTTTTGCTGCCCCAAAAAGAGCACTGCTTGGGGAAAGGCTGTTGAGGGTCACAACAGGTTTGCCCCCACATTGTTGAGTTCTGCCATCACTTGTGACATCCAGCCCAGCTCTGCAGCATGACTTGGCCATCAGAAGAAGAAATCTTCTCCTGGGGAGTGGGTTCCTCCAGGCACTTCCAGAGCTACCCCTGTCCTTGCACACTCAGCAGGTACAAGGGACGTCAGGGCAGGCTCTGAGCCATCACTTGGCTGCAAGCCCAGCCCTGCTGCCAACCCAAAACCCAGTCTCTAAAGCCCTTTAGCGGGATTAAAGGTGCCCATTCCTTGTGCCAAGTCATCCCTCCAGAGGAAAAGCTGTGTTGTGGTCATGCATCAACCCCAGGTCACTTGGCTGCTTCCTTCTTTTGGAAACCCCATGGACAGACCATAAGGTCTGCCTAGCCCAGGGTCCTGTCTCCAGTGACATAGACTTGGAGAGGAGCCCAGGAACAAGCAGTGCTTCATCAGTAGGTTTCCATGTTTCTCTATGCCCTTGTCATTCTCCTCTGAACCTGTCCCAGTGCTGCTCTATCCTTTCTGAGACAGGTCCCAGTGTCCCTGAGATGTTGACACCCCAGGAGCTGAGATCATAGCCTCCTGATGTTCTCCCTTTCTCCTTTCCTAACACCTCTTGGGTGGTTTGCTTTCCTTCACCACGGCTGAGCTCTGAATTAGAGGAGATAATTTAATGTCAAAGATCTGGTTCCCAACTAGAGACAACACCTTTGAGCCCACCACTCAATGTGCAGGCTAAGGGCCTCTTCTCCTCTCATTGAGGACCCCAAGAGGTTGCTCCTTGGCACAGTAAGCCCTATCCATGCCATCCTGGCAAGCCCTGGCACTGCTCCCCTGCCTTAACGCACTGGAAACACTGCTGTAGTCAGCAAGGGCAGAGCAGTGAGGGATGGTGTGACCTGCAGCTCCATCACCAACCACCTCCAGAGCAAAGAGCCTCTGCCATAACTCTGCCACTGAGCATCCCAGCCACAGAGCCTGGGACATCCCCCCTCAGCTCCAACCACCTCCACTCACCGCCACAGGCTGCAACACAGCCCCCAAGGCCTTGGTGATACGGACACTGCAGCCCTCCAAGCAGACCCACAGCCTGGAGAAGGGCTGGCTGAGCTTCATCCAAGCCAAATTCCTGCTAAATGACCACACAAGCTGCTGCAGAGCCCCGTTCACCCCACACAAGCTGCCTTTGCCGGTGGATGAATGGTGCTCGCTCAGCGCCTGCAGCAGGCTCTGAAACCGCTTCCCGCCCACGGGAACAAAGCTCTGAAGTTTTCAAGAAGGGAACGAGGCGTCCAGCCCCTTTCTGCATGCTCAGGAACATTGCCAAGATCCCTGTTCCCTGCTTCAGCAACCCATCTGCATTCCCCATGCTGTGGGGGTATGTCCTGGCTGGCTGCAGAGACCTGCAGGGATGCTGTGGGGACAGGGGCCCTGGCTGTCATCCATCACGGAAGTGTTCAAGGCCAGGATGGACAGGGCTTTGAGCAAACAGGTCTAGTGGAAGGTGTCCCTGCCCATGTCAGGGAGGTTGGAATGAAATGATCTTTAAGGTC